GGAAACAATCAGTAACAATCATAGAAATGGCGGCTTTCAGTGCACTCTCGCTATGCCCCTACAATTTCTCTTGTCGACCAAACCCTAACAAGCGCCGCTTTTTGTGCTCTCTCGCCTCTCCTTCTTCAATAGGTAAGCTTCGAGCTTTTCCTGACAAAGTGGAAAGTTTTATCTTTTCTTTTTTCTTTCTGGCATGTTTTTCTGATTAACCAAACAAGGGATATAGCTCGTTGATGTATTGGATTATGATATGAGACGTACTATTTGTGTTGTTTATTGATAGCTAATTAATTGGATGAGTAAGATTTTCTATTGCATATGGCTCTCTTTGCAAACAAGTGATTTATGACATGTTTGTAATCGGTAGATTAGGGCACTTAAATCTTCTATTCATACTAAAAAATGTATTTTTTCTATTCATACTAAAAAATGTATTTTTGCAAGTTGTTGTAGAGCCTTATAATTGAAATCAGAAATTCATGATTGAAGCTTTGGTTCATTGTAGCATGACTCTAACAAATTATGTTCTGGTTTCATGTTTGCTTGAAGCTAATGCCAGAGTTAAAAATCACTTCATCCTCTGGGTTGTTGCCAAGAAAAAGAGTGGGACAAGAAATGGAAACGAAATCTTTATCTTATGCCTGTTTTTGGGTTTCCAAGAAATGAAAAACTTCAATCTGCCCAAGCTAATTGTTGGACTAGGTTCACTTGACTGGGGTTATATTTTCCAGGTCGTAAGCAATAAAATTTTTAAGATTTTAGAAGTTTTAAAGCTACAGGACATATTTTATCTTAGGTTTTGTTTGTAGAATACAAAAGATAAGTTTACCCATATCATAAATTGTCTTCTGCAATAAATGTGTTTCTTATTCTTTCGATGTACACTTCTGCCTATTGCAAACCCTCTTGTTTACTTTTGTTAAAATCCAACCTTCTCAATTGTTTTGTTTTGTTGTCTTCGTTATATTTATTTCTGAAATACATGAATGTGATACTGTTGGTCGATTTTAGGTACGCGTGGACCTAAAGTACCCCGCAAAAAATCAGGAAGATTGGAAGGGGCTGGAAAAAGTATGGAAGATTCTGTTCAACGTAAGATGGAACAGTTTTATGAAGGGTCTGATGGTCCACCTCTCCGTGTCCTTCCAATTGGAGGCCTGGGTGAAATTGGGATGAATTGCATGCTTGTTGGGAATTATGATCGTTATATTTTGATTGATGCTGGTGTTATGTTTCCGGAGTAAGTCTTAACAAACTGGTCTGATTTTCATTTATTTAACAAGTTGTAGCTTGGTGATCATCATGCTTCGTTCTTGTCATCTGAAGGTTTTTGTTTTCTTGGGGTCGTGGATTGACTTTTTTTTTTTTTTGACTTTTTTTTTTTTTTTTTTAATTTGTAAATATTTCATGTTATTTTGTGTTATTAGTGGCTTACCGAAGTATATGCTCAATTGCGTAATTTCATCTGTGCTACATCTTTTCCTGCTGCTCGGGATTCTCTGCTGCAAGTTGAGGATCTAATTGTATTAATCAAATTTGCTTCATAAAATTATTTTTCCAGCGTGGAAAACTCTGGCAGGCATTAACTTTTTCTAAATGATTTTATAATTATTTGTCACTTGAAACCATGTGACAACGCTGCACATCCACACAAGCGAGCATGCAAGGCAAGAGTAAAGCCAAACAATCTTGTACCACAATAATCACGGGAACAAAATAAATATTCAATTATAAGGTTCTAAAATCCACCCAAAAAAACAAAAAAAAAAAAAAACTACAATTAAATCTTAAACATTTAGAAACCTGCACCAAAATCCCCTAGTATTCCATTAACAAAATTTATAATCTAAAATAAATTAAAATCAAACTCCTGCACTCGGGCACTCCCACAAGCAAAACCTGCACAACTCTACTCCTCTGAATTTGACAAAAAGATAATAAAAGAAGTGTGAGCTCAACAATCCAACAAATGACCAACTATCAGTACTAGTTGGATCAAGCATATAGAAAATAGTCGATAAGCAAGAAAATATGGTTTCTAACAATTCGATGGAGCAATTTATTTCCAAAGTAGATACCTAGCTAAAATTGACAGTGTAATGTCACAATTTATTTGAAAAGATAAGTAATCCAATAAAAAGTCATTTGTTCAAGACAATGGTTTGATATCCAATAGTACAATAATTCAATCAACAAAACCCAAGTCTTAAAAGACTATGGCCACATTAGTCTGTGACAATATTTAGAACCACACATAGGCCCGTGGTAAAAACCCCAGTAGAAACTAGTTTTTATGCCAATAAATAACCTCCATTGGCCAGGGTTCAAATCATAGTTAGACTGGAGTCATGTTTGCAATTCAAACAAGATATAAAATATTCAATGTCTTTGAAATAACATTTTAATAAAATTTGTTCGAATTGTTTCACAAAATATATCTGATTTATTTGCACGATTCATATTCGCACGATTCATATTCGATGTAATTTCATAGTTGATCCGTATTTTTCTTTTAAGAACACAAGTGAGTGATAAAATATATTTTTTTTCTTTTTACAATACACAAAATATATAATTTTTAAATGATACAATAGGAATGAAAGCAAACCAATGGTCATAGAGGGTTATTATATGTCAAACGCTAAAAGAATATTTTCAAATCTACTCCAAAATACCAAGTTCCACTTCAATCACGCTATCCTAATAAATATTATACCACATAAATAAATATAATTATCATCTTATTTAGGGCAAGTTTGGGAAGATCCAAAAAAGCCAAAAAGCCAAAAAGTTACTCAAAAAGCTAAAAAGTTAACACTATTCACCAAAAGTCAACAATTACGGCTGCACAACTCCCAATTCAAATTTTTCTCTACAAATCAATTTTTACAATTTTTTATTACACATTTTTCAATAAAAAGTCAAAAAGTTAACCCAAACATCCATATTTTCAACCTCAATTTTTTAGTCCAAAAAGACAAAAAGTGCACTTTTTTAGTCTTCCCAAACTTGGCCTTAATTCCCATTAATTAAACCATAGTTCTGTAATTCTAAAATAACCAGTCACCACCCTTGATATGAATTCTAGAATCATTCAATAGTTTCATTCGGCAACGGCAATCTCCATTCAACTGTTTCTTTTCTTAACCATCCTAAATTCCACTGAACCGTTTATATTGTCAACCCTATCTAAGGGACCCTCATGCTGACCACTACTCACGGTTCAATTCACCCCCAAAATCCAAATACAAATTACATTCATGAGTGAAATCCAAGATTCATGCATAGGGAACTTTACCTTAAATTAAAATCAACTCAACTTCAAGTATTCCATAAAATTTTATGAATATTATTCTCAATGAAACGCTAGGTCTAGATATTCCATGTACTCATGATTACAACATGAAGAAGTTGAGAGTCTAAGGTTTACCTTCAAATGATTTTAGCATTAATTGATTCCTTGAATCGCTTCTTTTTTATGGCCTCCTTCAATAGAATATGTAAAAGTGGAGAATGTAAATATGATGTTATATATATATATATAAACTAGGAGGGTTTTCTTATCTCTCTATCTCTTTTCTTCATAAATTTTCAAAAATTATCTTATTTGCTAAGAGCTAGAAAGCACGGATATGGATACGAGGTATGGATACGATACGATACGATACGTGGATACGATGATACGACAAAACCTAAAAAAGTAGGATATGGGTACGGTTAGGACACGTTTGTAAAAAATAATAAATAAATAAATTATTAGTAGTGAGTTACACATAAGCTCAAGAATGTTGAGAAATCACAGTAACTTTATAATGCAAAATACTAATCTTTAAGAATTAGATATTAATTTAAGCTAATAACTAGTTTAGTTTTAAAATTTTCAATAAGTCTTGTAAATATTTCATTTCAATATCAAGTCTAATATGTTGATGCTATAATATCAAAACAATCCACAGCTTGGCCCTATGTTTTTTTTCTTTTGCACTAGTCAATAATATTCTATGTAAGTTTATTTGTTTATTTATTTATTGATATTTAATTTTACTATTGTTATATTATCTTATTAATCCTTATTTCTATGTAGTTATTGGGGACATGCATGATACAATGAAGATATGCCAATTTAATGAATTTTATTATTTTAGCTTACTATGTTATTTTTATAAAAAAACTAAGCAAAGTATTGTAAAAATATTCTATTTATCCTTGCTATTATATTATATTATGATGTTATGCAAGAAATGATACAATTCTAATTTCGTAAAACGAGTAGTACGTGACTTGGAGTATTTGATATTTCAAAATTAATTAAGAAGTATCCGATAATATGTGACTTGGAGCATCCGATACTTCAAAAATAAGTATCCGATACTTCAAAAATAAGTATCCGATACTTCAAAATTAATGAAAAATTAATTAAGAAGTATCCAATACTTTTAGTAAGTATCTGATACGTATCCGTAAATATTCAAGGAGTATCAGTATCCGATACGGATACATCTCCCTATTTGAAGTATCCGTGCTTCATAGGCTAAGAGGAGGCCCCTCCACAAAAAATAATATATAAGCTCAATATAGCCATAGTGAACCCCTTTTTTGGATATAAAATTGTTAGTGCTGGTGAAATTTTTTAATGTAGTTATTGCTTATTTAGATTCCTCCCCTTCTTTTTTGATACACTGACTTTTGATCACATGTGGACACATTTCAGCTATGATGAGCTTGGTGTCCAGAAAATTATACCTGATACCACCTTTATAAGAAAATGGAGTCACAAAATTGAAGCAGTTGTCATAACACATGGTCACGAGGATCACATTGGTGCGTTGCCTTGGGTAAATTTTCTTTTCTACCACTTTATTATGTTAGCAATGCATTAAATGTTTGTGCATAATACATTGTGTTTTTCTTGGATTATTAGATGTTGAAGACACTGTGATTCACTTGTGTTTTGAATAGAGAAGTTGAGAATACGCCATTCAAGAGGTTCATATATTAATTACTTGCTACATTGATGATTTATTTGATGGGGTCAAAAAAACAATCTGTGAAAAGTGCCTATATGATCATTAGCTGCTCTATATTTTGATGCAGAACACAATTCATTGGTATGAGTTTTGATGTAGGATGACATTATAGTGAAGCAAATAGCTGATAACTACCCATTAGTATGTTCACCACATATACAAGTTCGGTTGGCAGACATAGCATTTTGTTCCTTGTTTCCATGTAGTGCAATTGAATGTTAAATTTTTGCTAGAGAAATCATTAGTAATCAAAAAGTAACGTTGATTCTCTATGAAATATATTTAATTTTGATCCACTTTAACATTCATAACAAGTTTTGATAGTGTTGTTGGTAAATAAATATTTTGTAGGGTAGTTGAACTAAATTTTAGATTGAACAACCTTTCATATTAAGTGTGTGCACCACATGTATAATTTAGATGGACAAACAAAAAAAGCATTTCATTACCATCAAGGGTGGTAGCCTAATGGATGGGAGATAACTCTCACTGGGGTTGGTGAGCATGTTGCTCTGGGTTTAAATATTCGCAAGTATAATGTGATTCTCATCCTCCTTCGCTTTGTGCTTCGGCTCTCTAGGACCCTAGTGGGGCTACGAGTTAGGCTATGTCTCACCCTGCCTGGTAGGGTCCCCAGCGGGTATGTGATCCTATGGTCCTCTAGGTTGGTCGCTCCCTCTTTCCTTCTTGAATCAAGCAAATAAATTTCATTTCTTTGTTTTCATACCAATGTTATTAAAAGCGTGCCTAGGAGCGCACCTAGGTGCAAGGCCCAGCCATGCCCACCCCCTGCCTAGGAGCGCACCTAGGCGCATGGCCCAGCCATGCCCACCCCCTGCACCTTGCAATGGTCAAGGCGAGGCGACTTCACTAAGGCGCAATTAACGCGCGCGATTGGAACAAGGTGCGATTAAGCCCAGGCGCAGGCCTTGAGGTTTTTTTTTTAAAATTCGAATTGGACCATTGAAATTACATGGGTCAGCTATAGCAGATCATATCCTTCAAATATACATGCTAATATTATCGATTTAGCCCCAAATCAACAAGTGATAGAAGAAAAAACAAGCCCTAATCCAAAGCTCCAAAGAAGTCGAACTCGTCGTCCAGTCCAGGAGCTTCGAATGTGCAGGTATGTTCGTCTTCTCTTTGTTTTTGCCTCTTCATCCCTTTCTCTTTGTCTGTTCTTCTCTTCGTCTCTTCTCTTCTCTCTGTCAGTCATCATCTTCTTCTTCTTCTTCTTCTTCTTCTTCTTCTTCTCTTCCTTATGCTGCCTTCTTCTTATTTTTCATTTATTTTCTGGAATGCTCTATTTTTGTCTATGGAGTTAGGCTGAGCTGAGATTTTTAGGGCTTCAAATGTACTCATGTTGTCTTCTTCTTCTTCTCTTTCTTCTCTGCTTTTCTTCTTCTTTTTATTTTATTTTATTTTATTTTCTTCTCTGCTTTTCTTCTCTGGACTGCTCTGTTTATTAAATATTTATTCTGAATTGCTTTGTTTCTTCTCTACTTTTATGATTTAGTTGACCTTTAGATCATGGATATTCCTGTTTTATATTGAACTTTGGAATATTACTCATTTGTCTATGCTAAAATAGCGATATTTGTTGGTATTTATTTTTTAAAATGTTAAATGTTTCATTTTGTTTATGTTATACCAGTTAGTTATTTGCTTGCATGCCTCATATTAAATTATATTATTTCGACCTGCCATGGTGCGCCTTACTTTGATGAAGCCTGTGCCTCGCATTGTGCCTAAGGCTTCAGGAGACCTTGGCGCGTTGGTGTGCTTATCGCTTTTAATAACACTGTTCCATACATTGCAATTGAATGTTCAAGTTTAGTTAGGGAAATATATTGTCATCAAAAAGTAAAATTGATCCTCTGAGAAATGTCTGATTATGAGCCTCTATAGCATTCCTAACAAGTTTTGATATTGCTAGTAAAGAAATAGTTGAATTGAAAATATGAACCAAACAATCTTTTCCTCTGATACTAACATTGTTGACACACTATATTATATAGACTTAGGTATTACCTAAACACTATGTTTCACAGACTTTCGTAAGGGTGCATGTCCAAGTGTTAGACCTTCATAAACTTAAATTTTAGGATATTGGGATATGTATCCAAAAAAAGATATAGGTGCGAGAGGACTCATTATGGGCACACATATGTTATAATATTCTTGGATAAGATATAGTAAATTATGTAGAAATGTACTTGAAATTGAATAAGATTTAGACAAAATGTGGAATTTTTTATCTCTCATCTATGTTAGATGTTATAAATATTTATTTTCTGGAACATGTAAGTTTCTTATTCTTCAGGCATTTTGTAAAGTTGGAGGATCCAAGAGTCTCAATTGGGAACGGGCATCGGACACATTCCACGCCCTTATCCTTGTCATATCCGATGGACACAAGTACTTTGGGGAAATAGAAGAGTCCATGTAACATAGCCTAAAAATAATGAAATAATTACACACGTTTAAATGTTTATCACTTATTCTGTGTTTATTGCATTCTGTTTTTTTTTTTTTGGTTTCAGTATCTTATATTTTTAGATCTTATAATTTTAATTAATCTTTTTGCTTTATGAGCAGGTTATCCCAGCATTGGATTCCCATACACCAATATTTGCCTCGTCATTCACAATGGAGGTATGATTTAAAGGCTTTACAAATTTTATTACATTCTTATATATAATTCTAGAAAGATGGCACTGTTGACAGATATGTTAATTGATCAAAAACATACATCACATGTGGGGTGTGGAAGTGTCTAAGCGTCAGATTCATTCCCTAGTGAAGAACCTAGGGATTTTATTAGATATTCATATGTCTTTATATTCTTATGTTTTTACCCAGGGTAAATTGGTCTTTTTATGCAACGTAGAGCATATTAGGCATTGCCCTTCACTCATTATGAAGCAGCCATGTCTAAAGTGTAACATAATGAGGGAGATCTATTAGTAATTTTGTATATTTATTCATGTGCAATTAAATAAACACTTCAATTACAGGACATGCCTGTAGGTGCAATTTCAATTAGACAAGTTCGAGTGATTGGATGCATAGTTCATACCTTTATCCAATCACACATTTAGGGGAGTCCAAGTAACATATGTCAATAACGATGTTCTTGGCAAGTATAATAAAGGCTCCTCGAATATATATATATACATATGTGTGTGTGTGTATATTGCATGGGTAATGTCCTTTCATGTATAATTTGATGGCCTTAAAGTTTAATGCTGGCTGAGTAGCAACACAGACTGATTCCAGCCCCCACTTCCTGTGCCAGTGTCACACATTATCTCTCATCATCAGGGATTCATCATACCTTTTTTAACATGTCTGTGCATTTGCATGTATATTAAATTTGCCGTCTGTTGATGTATTGTGTCTAGTTTTCTTGCATCTCTTCATCAATATGGAATGCTGACACCCTTGTTCTTGAACAGCTTATTAAGAAGCGTTTGAAGGACTTTGGGATCTTTCTTCCATCTAGGCTTAAAATATTTAAAACTAGGAGGAGATTCAGTGCTGGGCCATTTGAAATAGAGCCTATTAGGGTAACCCATTCTATTCCTGATTGTTGTGGATTGGTTCTCCGGTGTGCTGATGGGACTATGCTTCATACTGGGGACTGGAAGGTATTCTACTTTATTTCTTTACTGTACCTTGTAACTTAATTACATTATGTGTTTTTTTTTTTTTGAGCTACATGTTAAATCTATATTCAACAGATTGATGAGTCACCATTGGATGGGAAAGGTTTTGATCGTGAAGCTCTAGAGGAACTCTCAAAAGAAGGAGTAACACTAGTAAGTATGCTGGATCTGTTTATCATTTGCTTTTCTGTTAAACTACAATTGGTAAAATCCAACACTGTCTTGGCTTTGAAGTTGAGGGATAGAGTAGGGAGGCGGATTCTTTGGATATTGTTTCAACTTAAATTTGCTTTGAAGAAATTCTCATTTTATTTAACTGGGTGAGCTAAAAAAATAGGAAAACAATATTGTTAAATTGTTGGTGCCGTTGCATTAGTGATGGATGTTTTATGTCACCGTCATGATTTTTTGTTGCTATAAAAGAATTTTCATCCTTGATCAACTGTTCGCAAAGAATAGAAGCCAGCATGATGGACATCACTTAATTCAAATTCCTTTGCAGATGATGAGTGACTCAACAAATATACTTTCACCTGGAAGGACACTTAGTGAGACCGTTGTAGCTGATGCACTGTTGAGGCGTATTTCAGCTGCTAAAGGAAGGGTTATTACTACTCAGTTTGCATCAAATATACATCGCCTTGGAAGCGTGAAAGCTGCAGCTGATTTAACTGGCAGAAAGTTGGTATGCTAACTCCTATTTGTCCATTGTACACTTTTGCTTAAGAAATTTGGAGGCAGATGATGTTGTCACCATTGTGTTAGGTATTTGTTGGCATGGCCTTGAGGACATACCTGGATGCTGCATGGAAAGATGGAAAGGCACCAATTGATCCATCAACTCTTGTAATGACTTCAACACTTAACTTTTTTGCTTTCCTATGTCCCCTTTTCATGGTGGTTGGTATCTTCTAGTATCATATTTGACATGGTGTTAACAATAGAAGGAAAAAGTTCCATAAGCTCAAATTTAGCTTTATCCTGAGTTGAGAAATTAGGATTAATCTAACATACATTTAGTCTTAAATTGTGTTCACAAAACAGGTTGAACTAATTGTCTAATGATAAATGAGTGAAATGCAATAGTCAACTTCGTTGATTGCTGCTGTTGTGGCTGTCCCCCTCTGCCCATTTGTGTAGTTCTTTAACTTGTCAGCTGTGATATGGACAATTTTGGTAATGTAGTCAGTAGCTGTTTAAAAAAAAGTAGATATATGAATGCACCCCTATTTCTTATCCCCCAATGTAAGTGGTGCTGACTTGCTATGTTACATGGACTCGGGTACGGGTGTCGGGTGCGGGTATGTATCTAGAGGTCGGACTCATCAAATCATAAATTTAACGATACGCGGACTCGGCAAAAAAATGTCATATTTTTATATTTTTAATCTAATATGTGAGATAAAATGGTATTATATGTAACTTATAGTGTCAAAATGACATTTATAGCAATTATATAATAATATATACATATAATAATAGTGTTATATACAATTATATAAGAAGTATCCGTTGAAAAGTATCCGACACATATCCCATACCCTTGTCCGAGTGTCGGGTGTCCGACACGGGTATTTGATTTAATTTGAAGAGTCCATGTAACATAGCTGACTTGTGGCAATTCTCGATCTTTGGCTATTATACCACAATACAGATGCTACAACGGTATTCTGCTCTGTAAAGAAGTATGACCACATGTTACCATTGCAGTGGCATGATATTTAATTATTATGACAGTCACAATATTAGGTCATTATTTTAATATTTTTTGAAAAGAATTGTTTTTTTGGTTTTTTGTCCCTCGATTGATTCTCATTCCACATCTGATGGAAAGCTTCCTACCCTCTCTAGAACCATATGACTCATAATTTTATGGAACGGAGAGAGCAAGGAATGAAACTAATCACCCAACCTATGAGTTCATCTTTATCTAGTAGTTCAAATCTTTTAACAGGTCTAGATCAATATTGCTTGGGAGTTTCAATCTTGAACAAACCAAACCATGCCTGTCAGTTTGGTCAGAATTGCGATTGACCCGTACTAGTTGCAACATTATGTATCCATTTGTCATGCTTGACGTAACTTTCACATGCAGATGTTTGTTTGACATGGCTCTACTCATTTCATTTGTTCTTATTTTGGCATAACCTGCTGGCAAAATTATAGTTCATGCACTTCGTTTTTCTGGAAACACTTACAACCCCACACCCCTCCCCATTCTAAGAAAATTAATTGTAATTTCATTATGACTTTTTTTCCTTCAATCTTCGTGGTCTTTCTTATTCTGCTGCATAGGTGAAAGTGGAAGATATTGATGCTTATGCCCCAAAGGATTTATTAATTGTCACAACTGGCTCTCAAGTAAGTCAACTTAGATACTTTGCCATTTTGACCTCATTTCTTTAATTGAATAGTTGAGGCTTGCATATGACTATGTCTGCGCTGTGTCAGGCAGAACCACGTGCTGCACTGAATCTTGCGTCGTATGGAAGTAGTCATTCACTCAAATTGAGCAAAGAAGACATTATTCTGTACTCTGCTAAGGTAATGAAAATCATAGTGCTGCATTTGGGATCTTTTGCTTTTTGACCAACATCTTTTCTTTTGAGAAGAGTTATTTTAATCATGTAATGTAGTTTATGTTAATACTTCATACATAAAATATTCATTTAAATATGTTTCCGTCTTGGAAAGATGGGAAAATAAATCTGAAGGTGATTTGTGCTGTTTCACTCACTGTGGTTGGATTGTGTAATATTGAGCAACTTGACGTGAAAATCTGGATGTCATGACTTGTTATTTAAGAAAGCCGGAAGATCTTTGGAACTATCTTATGTTAGATAATGTATCATCAATTTAGGTGAATGTGGTCGCATTATCACTGTTGAGAATACGTCATAAAACTCCAATGTAATAATCCCATATTAGTACTTCTCTTTTTCTTTTTTTTTATAATTTTTTATAAATATTTTTTAAAGTCCCATGCTGGTGATGATCTTATTTTGAAACTTCACTACTTTTGAGATGACGAAAACATTTAGATTTTGTTTCAAGTTCTAATTTCATGGCATTTTACTTTGGTGATGATTACTTGATTTTCTGAATAAATTTTTGATTGTTCTGCTTAGTTTTCAACTTCTTAAGCCAAATATTTGGTGAGTCTTGATAGTTCACATTTTCAGGTGATCCCTGGTAATGAGATACGGGTGATGAAAATGCTAAACCGTATATCAGAGATTGGATCAACGATAGTAATGGGAAAAAATGAGCAGCTGCACACATCCGGACACGGGTATCGTGGGGAATTGGTGAGAATTTGTTACTATTCAGGATCCTCTTATTTCCTACGCTGACCTGCCTGTATGATCTCTGTTGTATTTCATTTTCATCCCTAAACTGATTTTAGAGCTAAGAAAAATAAACAAAATGAAATGTCTGTGTAATCATCATTTTTTCTGTCTTTGTCTTTTAGATTATTTTCTTTCTAGGACTGATTTGAAATAAGAACTGGTTTCTCATTAAAAACAGATCATTAGATGACTGTGTTTCTGTTCATGAAATCTAATAAGGTTCATTTTCTTAGTTTTGGATGTCAGTTCCCTTGTTATCAAACCTGCTAATTTGTTTTAAATGGTACAATCTAACTATGAAGTTTACTTTTGAAGGAGGAAGTACTGAAGATTGTGAAGCCACAACATTTTCTGCCCATTCATGGAGAACTCCTTTTCCTTAGAGAGCATGAATTACTTGGAAAATCTACTGGGATTCGGCATACTACTGTAAGTTAATATGATTTCCTTGGCATGATTTGCTTGGCAATGGGATTATTATCTAAATGAGATATTCAGGGTGCGTTGACATCATTTTCTTGAAGTACCGACAATTCCAATATCATGATTTTCATTGTGTAGTTTAGCACAAATTCTATTTCCCTTTTTAAACTAGCTTACAAATGATATGATATGATAAGTATTATTAAAGTTCTGGAAAACCTGTTCTTCCTTTGGTTATTGCTTTCTGTGTCGGGTGGACTTTTAAGAGTTCATAGTGTAGAGTGTAATGCTTACTCTTTGTTCTGGTAGCTGGTGGTAGTTTCCATTATAATCACAGATTCACAACATATTATTTGCTTTAAGATTTCCGTAGCTCAATGGATTGGGTCCATTTGTAGAATCTAAAACCTATCGTAAATTGGAAGATGATAACAGGATTATTACCTTAAAAAATATTAAGAAGCTGCAAGGTGCTGCAAAAACTGATGCATCATTGACAAGCAATAGGGTATGGAAAAAGATGATGACAGAGGGAAAACCGCAAAATCTATGTGCATCCTGAAAGGTATAATATTAATTACAAACCTGACAACAAAATGTAATTGAAAGAATTTAATGTGTGTATGGAGATTCAAATTTGAAGATCTCAGATGTCAATCTTGGGATTGTGTAATGTGAGACTAGGTCTTTGCTCTCTTTTTGGCTAATGAAACAAATCTCACAAAACTCTTTTTATAATGTTTATGACCTAATATAATAAGTATATGCCCCCTTTCTATGCGAATTGAGTTTATGTGCAAAGGAATGCTTCTTGTGGGACTCAGGTTTGATGGCACCCAACATTAACTGTAAATTCAAGTAAATGATATTGATCAAAAGTTAAGGTTCCAACAACTATTCTGCATACAACAATACAGTGGCTTATTCCTGTGGTAATTTTAATCCAGGAACTGAATTAGACAAGTTTGTCTGTGGTTTCAACCTGGAATTGCATCTTGAAGTGTAAGGGGGAGGGGGCATGACCTAGTTTGGGGTGCTTAGGGTTGACTAGGTAAAGACATACTTTGGCTTCATTCACAAGAAGTCACCGTCTCTGACTTATTGTATAGAAGAAATAGAACAAATGCAAGCTGAGGAAGGACATCGGGTGTCATGACCCGAACCCACACTGGCCAGTAATCATGAGATTACCTACGGCCTCAGACAAAAATCTAATCATGTTTAATTATATGGGTCAAAAGCGGAAGCATAATTATAAAATTTTGTACAATGAGTTGTGCATAAATGGTATGAACAAAAACTTGGCATTAGGGATGTGTACGGGTCGAGTCGATTCGAGTTTGCTGCCCAACCATCAATCAAATTGACATCTTCAGACGAGAAGGAAAAACATCCGATTCCGACTAAGTATTGTTTGAAATTGCAGAGTATCAGGCCACTATTTTCACGGTCGGATTCGGTCGGTGTGCAATGAAGAGGACACATATACCCGAGAGAGAATCTAAGGGTCAATTGGTTAGGGGGTTGGTAGTGTTACGTATAGCCCTCGTCGATATACTCGAGGGAGATTTGAGAGGAAAATAAGTGGTAGGAAGATTTGAGAGAGGAGTGACAAAGATCTGACAAGGTCAAAGGGTGAAAGGAAATACTAGAAAAAAGATGAATAGCGACGCTGTAAAGCAACCGTTGTAGCAGCAACGGTAGCGATCTCTGTTGATTCAGGAGAGAGAGAGGGAGATGGATGGATTGATGAAAATAAATTAACAAAATGAGAAAGAAAGATAGTGAGAAGACAAAACAAAAAATATATATAACAATAAAATAAAAATAAAAGGACTTAAAGCTAGCTCTCTGACCAAGAGAGGCTAGCTCTCTCATCAAGAAGGCTTAAGTCTCATAAAAATAAATAAAAAATAAAGAGTTATCTCTTGGGAGTGACAGAGTGTAATTAATGTGATGGAGAGATAAAGTCAGGTATTATAATAGGAGAGAGAAAATGTGTCAGTGTGCATGGAGAGAGTTGGTGAACAAATTTCTAGTCTTGAGATAAGGATAGCAATAGATTTGCAGAAAGTAATATAAAAAGTCACTAATATGTGGAGATAATGTCTATATACTTGTATTTTATATCAGTCGAGTCGGTTTTTTTTCGGTTTTCTTTCAAACAAATCAAATGCCGACCGCCAATCCATAAAAACTAAAGAGTACAAATCGCAGCTGACCATAGCATCATTCAAAACCGTCCGTTCAGTCTTGGTTTGAGTTGGTCCAGGCCGGTTGATCGAATTAGACGGGTTGCTGAACAGCCCTGCTTGGCATGAACAAAAACTTCTTATATGTTAATAACTCACAACTGTACATACATAATAAGATTCCATATGTCCAAGATCTTTCATACATCTTTGTCATACTAAACCAGAACTTATATATGTATACAAGGTCAAACATAACCAATAAAAGAAGACAAAAATTCAAAAGACAAAAGAAACATAAGCTTCGCTCGTGAGGCGCTCATAACAGACTTTACAAAAACTTAGTATCCTTCACAGGTTCACTAAGGCTGGGGCTGGATATCCCGCTGCTCACCTACTTACATATATTTAAATGGAGTGAGCTAACGCCCAGTGAATAACATTAGAGTAAAGGGATTATGTGAATGAGATCTAGTAAATGACAAGCATTTCTATATCATAAACAATTCATAATGGAACGACCTTGGGTTCAACAGATAACAGAATGACCTTGAGTCCAACGTATAACCAATATACGGAATGGAATTGATCATATCATAACAGAACAACCTCAGATCTAATCATTTACAGCTATATAATGACCATTCGGTCAACTCATAACAGATAATTAGACTTATTAGATGTTCAGAACGACCTTGGATCCATCTTATCAAATGTACAGAACGACCTTGGGTTCATTCTATTACACAGAATGACCTTGGGTCCAATTTAGATATTAAGAATGACCTTGGGTTCATCATACACATTCGTGTCACATCAATTACGTTTACAGATATCATATTGATCAGACAGATAGAAATTCATTCACACTTGCAAAATCACAGTTTCGGAAAAACTTACCACATTAGGACATTCAGAAAATAAATTAAGAAAATATCTTTACTAAGATATTATTCACAGTGATTCGGTTGTTGATTCGTCCTCGTGGATGATCCTACACAATTCAAACATACACACATGGAATTACATCGCTTAATCGGATTGTTCTTTAACTCGTTCAATTCTCTTAGGTTTCATTCTAACTTTTTAATTCATTTAAGATGTTTAATTCATGCCTAATAATGCCTAGAAGGGAATGAGAATGCACACTTGATCAGAGCATGTTTTTTCAAAATTTACTGAAATAAAGCACTTCGCTCGAGCGCAACATTGGTCGCTTGAGCAGACCACTTGGTCTGCAAAAGTATTGGATGGTCCGAATCTAGGCTCGATGTTTGCTTGAGCCAAGGTACAAATAGAAGGCGGTCACTTGAGCGGTGACTTGGTCGTTCGAGCCAACTGCAAATGTCTAAAAAAATACTGAATGCAAGAAATGTGCGCTTGAGCGACAGACTGTTCACTCGAGTGGTGAGACAGAATTCTAGAAATTCCAAAACATAATTGAACTCCAAAGCTTGTATTTTCAAATCAAATTCTTGCATGGCTTGTAAACTACTTCTCAAACACTTGAGACTTCCAAAAACATGATTACCAAGCCAATTTGCAAAATCAAAGCTCAAAACTACAAGAATTCAAACTCAATGATCATGCATGTATCAGTTGTTTCCATACTCTTTTCCTAAGCTTCAAAAACACGCAATTCATTTTCAAAACTTTGTAAATCATGGAATTGAGCTCTAAAACATCATAATTCATGAATGCATGTAGAAGATAGCTTCAAAACTCACCATGGATGGCATGAATCATGTTCAAACTTATGAAACTCTACCAAATTATGCATGCATGTATGAATTAACCTTTAATCCCTCATTCTAAGCTCGATTCTTACATTTAAACACAATCTTTTTGAATTCATATATGAAATGACTTAGTTTTTGAATTAGGGTTCAAAAACTTACCTAAGGTCTTCAATTGAGCTCAATTTAGCAAATTCTTGAGTTGTGCTTCACAATCCTTCAAACTTCTTGCTTAATCTTCAAGTTTTTTAGCTACTTCTCTCTCTAGAATGGTGTCTCTCTCTCTCTCTCTCTCTCTCCCTCGTTCAAGAAATAGACTAATCTCATCACTTGACATATATATACATGATTAACTTAATACACTAATTAGGGATTAAGCTAGTTAATTACAATTTTGGGTTTAATTAAATAGAACATAACTTAATTGATTTTATTCTAATTAATTAAGACTGAATCAAATTTTAATCAAACTTCTCATTAGGTTCTAAAAGTTATGTTGATCACAATAAATTAACCAATTTTGGTTTCTGATGCCATTAAAGCCTTCAATTTTCAGATCAAAGTAGAAATCATAATAGATTTTCCTACGATCAACAGATATAAAGTCAAAAACCACATTATTCACATAATTAACATTCAAATTCTCACCTAGCACATAAGCACATGCATAATTAAAGAATTAAAAGCATAATACGGGATGGGGTTGTCACATCAGGTATCTAGTTCTAACATGTCATCGCTTTCCGGTGGCAAACAATTTCTTATTTTTTTAGTCTTTATCTTCTGCAGAAGTGCATCTTGTTAAGTGATAGAGGATGAAATCTGAATGAGCAACATATATACTTGTGCAGACAAGGGCATGACCCACTTTGAGTATCAGAAGATGTATGTGGGAAAAACAGTGATGTCCCTTTGTGTATTCTATGCAATATATGGGCATACTGCCTATAAGGAGCTGCTTGTGATTCGATATTTGGTGTCGTTATGTGTATCACATGATAATAAAATAAATGCTAAAGACATGTGATATACCATGCATAAGAAACTGTTGAAAATCCTATATTTTTGGTGAAGATGTATTTTTATGCAATGTGTTAATAAATTAAATGCTGGATACATAATGTATCAGGTTATAAAAAATGGAGAGATGCTTGGGGTTTCGCATTTGAGGAACAGAAGAGTGTTATCTAATGGTTTTATATCACTAGGGAAGGAGAATTTGCAGGTTGGTGATTATTAAAGGCCCCTCCTTATTCTCTCGTCAACCCCTTTTTCTTCTTTCCTTTATTTGCATCTATGATATCATTTCTTGAATTGAACAAAGTTCCAATAAAACTAACTTTAAACTACAGTTGATGTACAATGATGGTGATAAAGCATTCGGTACATCTACTGAACTTTGCATTGACGAGAGACTCAGAATTGCATCAGATGGTATTATAGTGGTCAGGTAAATCTTTTAGAATATTGATATAAAGATTTTTTGTACGAACATCTGTATTAGAGTAACCTCGTCTCTTTCTGTTGCAGCATGGAAATTTTACGCCCTCAAGATGCTGATGGTTCAGTTGAGAAAACCTTAAAAGGGAGAATAAGAATCACTACACGTTGCTTATGGCTTGACAAAGGAAAGCTTTTGGATGCACTCCATAAAGCTGCTCATGCTTCACTCTCAAGCTGTCCAATAAATTGTCCTCTAGCCCACATGGAAAGAATTGTATCTGAGGTTTTGAGAAAAATGGTAAGGAAGTACAGCAGTAAAAGGCCTGAAGTCATTGCAATTGCCATAGAAAATCCAGCAGCAGTTCTCTCTGATGAGCTCAACGCAAGGCTATCAGGCAAATCACATGTTGGTTTTGGGATATCTGCATTAAGAAAAGTGGTGGATGGTCATCCAAAAAAGAGACGGACGACTGACATACAAGAGGAAGAAGGCAAGACACAACAAGAATTGGAAGGTTTTCTCTTGATTTGATATTACTTGACTATTGCAATATGTGCCCCTTTAACTGTGATTTTGATGTTCTCTTTTATATTCCTGCTTTTGTGCCACAATTCAGTAGGTGGATTGCCTTGTTAATTTCCTTCTACTCACAAAAGTGAAAGTCAAATGGTATATTTTCTATGTTTGACTTTGTAACTAATGTATCATTATAATATTTGTGGGCTTCCATTTAGTTCTATTTGGAAAATAGTATTTGGGATGTGATTACGTGTTGTGAAGTGGAATTTTTTCTTCTTCTTCTGCCTGCTATATTTAAGATTGTTTCTCTTTTGTTTCTGTAATGCAGGTCATGACATTGAAGATGATAGACTTCTGTCTGAGGAAGCCACTACTTCAGGTTCTGAGTCAGCAGAGAAATTTTCTCTCAATTCTGATGGGTCGGATGATTTCTGGAAGTCATTCATAGCATCATCACCAATTGAGCAATCGGTAAAAGATAGCAATGGTTCTGTTCCACAGGAAGAACATAGGGAGAAGCTTAAGATAGAAGAAACTAAGGTTGATGACATGGTTGAAATTCCAAAATGTCAATCAAAATCTTCCAAGCCTGGAAAGCGGAACAAATGGAAACCTGGTGAGGTTATGAAGCTAATTAATATGCGTGGTGAACTCCATAGCAGATTCCAAGTTGTGAAGCAGCGAATGGCCCTTTGGGAAGAGATATCTGCAAACCTGCTGGCTGATGGGATAAATCGAAGTCCTGGCCAGTGCAAATCTCTATGGACATCTCTGGTCCAGAAATATGAGGTTTGTTCTTCACCATGACCTTAGGTGCACTTATTTATTTATTTATTTATATCACCTGAGTTTATTTATTCTGGTGGGGGAATACTATATTCTGGTAGTATTAAATCCTTATCCATCACTGCATCATATGTGGGTAGAAGTGTTTCAGCTTGGTCAAAATTTTAAATATTTTAGTTTAAATTTTGCTCTATTTCAAAATCTCAGCCTCCCCCAAGTCTTCATAATGTTGAGACATAGATTGAATGTCTGACATTAACCCTGAATGATATGGTAAACTAAAACAAGGCATTCCTCTAAGAGGGAAGCAACAGAGTTGCACATTTCTATTATAGGCCAGAGGCCAACTATTTCTAGATTTTCCTGGGGGCAACCCTACATGTTATTGCACTGTATATGCACATATGAGATTATTAAACGTTATGGTTAGGCCTTGGGTAATGCCAGAAGTTTTGCTGTCCTTTATCGACGATGATAACTGTTGCTTATTTTAACAATGATAGCTTGTCTCAACAGGAAATCAAGGGTGATGAGAAAAGCAAGAAAAATTGGCCTTACTTTGAGGACATGAATAAGATTTTATCCGACTTGGAGGCAACAGCAGCAGCAACAAAATGATCGGACTAGTGATATAATAGCTTACCTTCCAGAATTCTTTTGCAAAGAGCTTTTGTCGAAGGGTAATTATCCACAAAGTTGCTTGGATTGGATGGTTAATTGGAAAACCATTATTTTGTATCCAGAGGGGAGGTTTGTATGAAAATACTAAGGGGAATGACACGAGAATTTGATTGGTTTTGTAGCTATAGGCCCTTCCAAAAATTGATCAATGAGTGTAGTGTTTGTGGTATTTTAGAGGGTATTGGATGGGTTTCCTTTGTTTCCTTCACTTTTTGAGTTCTTTTCAATGTTCTTGGCTTGTAGTTCTGATGAAATTGATGAGCGCAGATGTTCAATAAGCAAGGGAAATTAGCAACAAGATTTTGCCAAAACAAGCTTTGGCCAAGACGCCCCCTCTCCTTTCAAGATGGGGGGTGGTTGTCTTGCGAGGGGGGATGGTTGTCTTGGAGAATTTGCAAGAGCGGAGATGACTGTGAAATAAACAATTTGCAATCAATATCTTTTTATTCTGATTTGTAAATTGACACTAAAAATAAAAAAAGAAAGAGAAGTAATTACTATCAATGGATCAAAGATTAGAGAAAAAAATAATAATAAATAAAAATTATTATTTTTTTTTGTTGTTGGCATCATGCTGCGTTGTGCTTTATCGTTCCCTCCCTTGTTTTTGCTCTCATTTTTTTGTGTAATCTGAGTACATTTTGGTACACTTTGATTCGGGAGTGGCTCATCTCTAGTTTAGATATCTTTTTTTGGGTAAGTCTCTAGTTCAGATATAAACTAGATAGTCAACTGTAATTAACAGGATAAACTAGATAGTCAACTGTAATTAACAGGATTGTGCCATATCATTTTTTTCATTGGACGGCTTATATTATACCGTCTGCCCAATTTAGTTAAAAAACCAAAAAAACAATATAGTTGTGGAAACTCTCCTCCCTTTGTCTCGAACACCTTTGGTTACCCCACCAGTGACTTTTACCGCTCCCCTTGTCCCTCACTGGCAACCCTCTTCCCCCTCCCTCACCCATTGCAACCTCGTCACACCCTCACCATCATTGTTGTTGCCAATCAATGAAACCCATCACCATTTTATTCAACATCATAAAACTTCAAATACAAAAAATTCACCAGTGTGAGTACAATGGGGGAGTGTCATAGATCTGTGAATAGGGCCTTTTCCCAAACTAAGCTTTGTTTGCATTCTATTTCCCAAACTAGGCCTAGTTTGGACGAAATTCCCAAACTAAGCTAAAACGCTATTACAAATCACGTTTTCACTGTTTGGAGCCTAAAATTTGATGAATAGTGAAAGCGCTATTGTAAAATGCGCTTTTAATTAATAAATCGCTGTTTTAAATCATTTTTTTTAATTTTACAAAACTTTTGTCTTTTAATAAAAAAAAATTAAAAAAAACCCAAATACAATTCATCCCAAAAACCACCAATTGTATTTGGAAATTGATCCTATTATCATTGATCACAATTCCCAAAAAATAAAGGCAGTGCTCTCTTGACTCGATAATGTTACCCATTATCACTCACTCCACTGCCATATGGCAACCTTCTACTGAGTTGTCATTTTCGGTCTAAACATCACCTCAAGACATCATTGTGGTCGTATCTGTGTGCAAATAGTCAGATCCATGTACAACAAGATGGCATCATTATTTCAACGAAGAAAAGAAAAATGTCAATCTTAATTATAGACAAGAAATTTCAGATATGAAAATAATAACTGGACTGGACCATACAGTCTATCCCTAACTTAAGGCTAAGCCAAACCCTTCTAATTCATCAATATAATTTTTTTTTTTTGCTGATCACACACACCAAAACATTATAACAACAACAATAATAGGACCTAGAAGGGGGCAAGGACAGCCTCGCTCTAGGCAATTTTTGGCATCCCTTTAACAACTTTTCGGCGTGTCTCCGATGAGCTCTCCAAACACTTTCAAGGTATAGATATGGATTTGTTATGCCTAGAAAGGAGAGTCTGAGAGCTTCTCTCCCAATTTCAACATAGAATTTTGAATTTTGACACCCACAATGATTCCCTCTTCTCTCAATCATTTGCCATACTGTCCAAAATTCTGCGACAGTGATGGCGGAGTTGGGCAGCGGTGACAGAGATGACGTCAAAGGCGAGTTTGATGCAGATCTTGTTTGATTTCCTACAGATTTTACTTATTCAAACCACATCTTGATAGATAAGTAGTTTTTCTTAGATCATAACTGCTTTTTTGGTGACTTTATTTTTTTGTTGTTTGTAGTTCTTGTTAGATTGGTAGGTTGTTTGTTTGGTTCTTTAAGGTTTTGTTGTTTTTCTTTTCTTGATCTGTGTGTTGTTTACTTTTATTTTAATATAATTGCTTTATATGTTCTAAATAAGGGAACAAAAAACTATAATAATAATAATAATAATAATAATAATAAAACACTTAGTCCATAAATCCAAATGGAAAATTCTACTTATATTATAATTTTATCTCATCGCAATTATTTTCTCATTACACTTCTAAGAAATAATTGAAATTTTCATTACACGCTTTATAATATCAAAACTAATCCTAAATTAAACCCTTTGCAAAACCCATATAGATTTTTCTCATTACACCTTTTCCTTTTGAATTACTCTGGTGTTATGTTACTAAACAAATTATATTTGTCCAGCCATCTGTTACTGCACATTTACATATTCACTTTCCTTAAAATATCGTTTTTTTTTCTTTTTCTAAATTTATGATGGATCTATTTAGTTATATATTGCCAAACAATTTGCATTATTTCAATATCATATTACCGAACAAATTAGATTTGTCCAACCATCTATTGCCGCACATTTATAGATTCACTTTCTCTTAAACATCAAACATCCATAAAAATATTTATAAAATTTGTCAATACAAATATCTTCAAATTTCTCAATACAAACATTTATGAAACACACACTGAGATATTATTACAATCCATGTACGTTGATAGTTTTAGTAGTTATTACATCTGGATTGATAAGCATATGGAATTGATCAATATGGATAGTATATAATATCTCTCATCCGTTGGCACATAGGTGATGAAAACAAATCCAATTACTTGCTTTCAGAGGTACTGGATGACCAGGAAACAGATAAATCTAACAAATCTCATTTGTAATGAATTCATGACTATAGTCCATTAACAATGTGCTACTAGCTTTACTACAATGAATAGAAGTATAATCCTTCAAATAAAAAAAAAAACAAAAAATGTCAGAAAAATAAAACTGAAAATGTTTAGAAGTGAGTTATTGGACATGTATTTTTTGTTCTGCAATGTGATTCTGTGCTATTTGATTTTGTTCGGTTCTTGTACACCGAACAAAAGTCGAACAACTCTTCAAAAATAAAACAAAAAATAAAAAATAAAAAAAACAAAGAAAAAAAACTTAGGTGCCGTTTGATAACACTTACGTTTTCAATTTTCTGTTTATATATACAAAAATTTAAAAAACTCAAATAAAAACTTGTTTGGTAAAATTTTTGATTTATAAATTAGTGGTCTCAGTTTATAAATTTGGCCAAAAAATGAAAACACAAAAAATGTGTTTCCATTTTGAGTTTTCAGTTTTTTTTTTTTTTTTTACCACCCAAAGCCACCACCTGCCACCATTTTCCACCACCGTCTTCCGCCACCACCACTCACCACCCACCTGCCACCACCAGCCACCCCCCGCCACCACCATCCACTAGCCACCCACCTGCCACCCACTCGCCACCACCACCCATCCCTCACCCCCACTACCCACCACCCACCCGCCATCAATTCACAACACCCCGCCACTTGTCACCACCACCAATAAGCATGCGAATGGATGTTATTCTTGTCACAGGGGAATATGTGTCAAAATAGTCCAGACCTTCCTTTTGTCTGTAACCTTTAACAACAAGTCTTGCTTTATCCCCAAGTATCTCACCCTAAGCCTTATAAACCCTTTCAAAACTTCCCACCAAATCAATGTGGGACAAGCCATTTTACAACCTTAAGGAATTTCCACCAAAACTCCATTTCCATGGAGCACACTTTGGCTTTAATTTCCCATTCACTCGGTAATGGTTTTGAGCAACCAAATATACCACGTGAATCACAACGCGGCATAGAACGCGTTACCACTTTGACCCGAGTAAATCGACACTCGGGGCCCACCTAAAAAATAGACCAAACTTGAGGAAAAATTAACCATTTCCAACAGTTATTACATCTGGATTGATAAGCATATGGAATTGATCAATATGGATAGTATATAATTTCTCTCATCTGTTGGCACATAGGTGATGAAAACAAATCTAATTACTTGCTTTCAGAGGTACTGAATGACCAGAAAACAGATAAATCTAACAAACCTCATTTGTAATGAATTCATGACTATAGTCCATTAACAATGTACTACTAGCTTTACTACAATGAATAGAAGTATAATCCTTCAAATAAAAAAAAAAAACCAAAAATGTCAGAAAAATAAAACTGAAAATATGTATTTTTTGTTCTGCAATGTGATTCCGTGCTATTTGATTTTGTTCGGTTCTTGTACACCGAACAAAAGTCAAACAACTCTTCAAAAATAAAACAAAAAATAAAAAAAACAAAGAAAAAAAACTTACCATTTCACTTTTTGTTGGTCTATCATCACCATTTATTCATCCATTGCTTTATTTTATAATCAAAATAGTTGATTCTCACTTTTTGGAAGTAGATGTATAGTAGAGAAGAAGAGATGAGTGAGAAAGAAAAGAGGTAGGGATTGTAGTGTAATGACTGTAAAGAGATAATCAAATCTATTTAATTTTTATCTTTTATTCTTAAAGGTAATTTCACAAATGGGTAAAATTGAAATAAAAAAAAATCTCAAATGGAAGGAGTAATTCTATTTTCACACACCAAATCCGCTCAATGTACATCTTTTTTCTAGACAAACACTTGATGGATTTTAAATTTTGTGGTTTGCTTGGTGCACATCCTACTGCACCAAAAATATCCTCATCTTCTTCATCACTCAAACCCTAATTCTAACCCCCTAATCCTTATCTTCTTCATTTATCGCCAACCAACCACCACCTCTTCCACCGAAAATTGTTCGGCCACCGCCACTCTTCCTTTTACCGTCATTGGCCGTCATTACCAAGTCATTTACTCTAAAATGTCTAGTCTTGTTATCCACTATTTCTTTCTAAACCCTAGGCACTACAACCCTCATATCTACACCACTCCATCTTCCATGAATATGGG